CGATCCTAGGCACTTGAACATACGATAATCCAATATAATAAACTCACTAATATTGAATACTTACAAAACAATATAGTGCGAATATAAATTAATTATCAATGTTATGACACACTGATTAACGAACAGAATTTTAAAGAGTTTTTGTGGGAATCATTGAATTTAAAAAATGTTTATGTTTTAAAAAGTATTCTATGACTATTGAATACCATTTATAGGATTGTTACAAAATCATAATATTGACTGTTGGTGAAAGACACATTTAATATTTCGTTCTTGCACATTCCAGCCTGTAAATTACAATGTATTTATGTGAAATGCACGTCGCTAAAACGAAAGATAAAAATATTCATTATTAATACATATTTGAAATTCATAACTATCTAAAATTTAATAAATAATCATTTTATTTTTTAATATGTTATTACAACATTATTCGATTTTGCAATTATTTATTTATTTATTTTTTTTTTTTTTTGTTCTATTCGATAAGATCGCATAATTATTGAATACGAATAATTATTTATTATAGAATGAGCTTTATTTATATCTAATACTACTGTAAGTATCAAGTGACGGACAGTCGATATTATAGAGAAATAAATAATTTTTTGAATTTCCACATCATGCTTTATATAGTATGATCATAAAAAATTTTTATACAATGACTTATATACCGTTTCAATAGTTCTGATTTCACAAAGATATTCATTTCAAGGTTTTATCATTAGAGGTCGTATACAAAGTTTTTTTCTTTTATTAACAAACTAAATTTAATTATTTTCTTCTACGGTTTAATCTAAATATTAGCATTAAGAATTTACGCCTATCAATAATAATTCTCAACTACTTTTTAATTTAAACTCTTTTTAATGTCAGAAGAAAAATATTTTGGTAGTTTCTAAAAATAGACTCATCGATCTTTTCATTTCTATCGGTGACAGGGGGTGGGGGCGAGAGCGGAGCGGGGCGGATGGGGAGGGGGAGGGGGAGGGGTGGGGGATTAAAATAATTCGTTTATTTTTACAAAGAATTTCTCAGCATCATCTTACATCTTTCAATTGTTAATTTATATATATTAAAAAAATAATAATAATACTCTATTATGAGTCGAGTCAAGTAAAAATGCCATAACGAAAATTAATAAACATCTTCTTTCATACTCGTTTTTCCATTTTTGTTTCGCTCTTCCTGCTTTGCCATTGTTCTTAATTGAAGCCGACGACGTCTCGGATCATTTCGTCACTTTAAGGGAAGGTCTAAAAATACAACGCAACTGTCGTATTCCTGATGTAATCACGGATTACATTTACACAATAATGTTCTAATGTTTCTATTAAGAAAAACATCATTATAAATTTTAACAAGTCCGTAAAAAAGCATTTTTATTTTATATCGTTTACCATATGCTCATAAAGAAGGGAAAATTTCATTGAAATTGACATGCTTTATCATATATTTAAAATAAAACAATTATGCAGGTAAAAATTAGGCATTATGACATAATGTTAACGATGGAATTAAATCTTAATAATAAATGGTAGGTTTAATTCATTCTCAACATTAATACTTTCATACATTTCCGCCTATAAATGTAAGAAACGTTACATGCCCGTTACATTATCTTTAAACTAAATCTGCAAATACAGAACAATCACTAGAAGAGTAAAAAAGTCTCTGAAATTATTGTTTCAACTATTTGGAATTTCATCGAATGAATGGGGCTACACGTAATTGCTTTTATTGAAAAGCTACAATTTATATTGAAACTCTGCTACGGGAGGTTTATTTCTTCGTACAATGCGCTAAGCACGAAAAATCTTTATATTCGAATATTACGTTATTAATAATATAAATACATTAGGAGCCCAGAGTGTTTGTCGAGTGGTTAATACATTGTCCCCGTCGTAATTCTTTGCGAGTTTATTCGTCAATCGTTACTCCTGACTCACTCGCTGAATAATCAGTTGTTCAAACCGCAGTTTTTCTGATCAACGCTGTACCCAAAGCAGTGAAATCCTGTGTCGTTTAACCTTATTAATTCTAATGGCTCGACATGCGCCACCAAGGGCAACTATAAGGGGTTGCCTCTTAATCTCATTTTCAGCCCCAAAACTTTACAAATCAGTCAAAAGGATCGTTATTACGCAATCGTTTGTAATATCCATAAACGATGATTGGCAGAAAACCGCACGCGTCAAAATTATCCACGATCGCGTGCGCGACATAAAGGGCACGCGTGTCATTCTACGTGTGCGTGCGCGCTTACATTCGTACACGAACCACCTCAGTTATGACGCATGCGCTCTTGCTTTTTCCCACACGCATTTTTACGTTACGGACTTTTTAAAAACAATCGAAATTGCCACGGGTTTCCTCCTTTTTCCCTACTTCTTTTTATTAGCGATACACATACGTTCTTACGTCTCGGAATCGATGTTCCTGATATTTACAGAACGTGCGCAGCACGATAAAGAAAAGAAAAACGCGGTCAGCAATGACGCGTGTATTAATTTTTGAGTAATATATTTGCGTTTAAACGTGAGGAATACGAGAGCATACCTGCTTTCCTAGAAATGATTGTAATACGCGATATTACGATATTATTTTCTTTTTGGAATTTTCAAAATTCGCTCGATATAAACGAATATAAGCGAACTTTATCTTATATTATATCCGTCCTTATAAAAAAATTACTTACGTTCCTTTATGTCGCAAAACCTCAGTATTTTTCATATTATAATTGTTTATATTAAATACACACTCTGCATTAATTATTAAAAAACTAATAATAATTAAATAAAAGAAAAATTGAGATTGTTTTACTAGTTAATTTTATTAAATTATTATTATTATTAGGATATTAGGAATACATTTTAATAATAATAACAATAATAATGATGATGATGATGATGATGATGATGATAATAATAATAATAGTAATAATAAAAATAGCGAATCAAAAAGCCGAATAAAAATGGCTTTAAAATATCATTATTAATATTGAATAATCATCGGTAATAACTTCGTCGAATATTTTCTTATTATCGTGTGTCATAAAAAAACGTAGCTGTGATTTTTATAGATTACGTATAATTTCATATTCTGCTTTTCGTACATTTAATAAGATTACCATATATTTTCTTTTCAAAGCGAAACTACAATATTGCCTATCATTACGACAGAAATGTGCCTATCTTATGTACATAGTAACGAAACATGTGTTACTTGTGTTCTTACAACTCAACAAATGATTAAAATCTGCATAGTTTCTTTTGTAAGATATAACAGATAATATAAATGCTAGTGAATCCTTTCCATTTTCTTTTAATTATTTCAAATAATAAATTATAATTATCTTGCTGGGAATTGCCAATGCGGTTGTTACAATTATGTAAAAACATACGATTCGCTACTAAACCTATCCCGTGTCCCCTATGTATCGAATAATGTAGTATATTACGTAAATGTTGCCATCTCTTTTCGATATTATTATATCAGAAGTGGTATTATAATTTTAATGAATTCAAGCGGTGCATGTGTTTACTTCTTAAAATCAATAATATTTATTATGGAGTACGCTGCTTATTGAAATAAATATATAGAAAATCACAAGATAAATTGTCATCGTGTCGTGGATTTTCATTTTGTCATTAAACTTCCTTTAATTGACATTTCAAATGTAAGTACTTTGAGAGTACTTTGAGTGTGGTAAGCTTTCAGTTTACTTTCCAAAGATATCATCGATTGCGTATGGCTTTTGATATTGATCTAATATAATTCGTGCCAAATGCTTCCGAAATATTATTACGTTAATGTTACGCTGATATGTAATTCGTAGAAAAAAAAAATTATTCTCAAAATCAAGTTTCTCCTCGCGCTTATGACAACGCTTATGAGTCTGCCTTCTAATTCTATTTACTCAGTCGAGTAGGCATGTAGTAAGAATTTTGGCTTAAAAAATAAATTAGTATAAATAATATTTCATAAACTTGCCTATATACGATAAGAATATACACTCGAAACATTTCCCGTCCCTACAATATATATATATATATATAATGTTATACTATAAAGCATTATAAATAGTAATCCACAAGTAGGATCATAATTTTTTTGTTGCTTAAAATGAATATTAAGGCCGCGATTCAGTAATAACATAATCAAACATTGTCTTTTTTTTTTCTTCTTCTTCCTTCTTCTTCTTCTTTATTCTTTTACTTCACCTAATAATATCTTTTATTTTGTTCAAAAATTTTCTAAGATAATCGTGTATTTCTGTTTATCGGAAGGCATTCTAATTTTAACTAATTGCTTGTATTGTTATTTAATGGGTGGAGATTATTTCAATTAAAAATATGAATGAAGGCAGAAAAATTTTATACGATAATATTGTTATTAGCGTGTACAGTAATTTGATGAAATATCATTTATTAAGAGACGATAAGGTTTATTTTTCATTTTGGGAAGCGTGCCCAAATATAATAAATAATAAAGGGGCTTACATTTAAACGAAATACATAATTACTAATATAATAGGCATTTTATATTGCGATATGCTATTAAAAGTATATCGAGACGGGTAAAGATCGTTGCGATCAAATGAAGAAAGAACATCGATAAGATTTTAAAAATAACGTAAAATGCTACGTTATTACGACTTATTTGCGTATTGTTTCCATTGGCTTTGGCTAATTGAATTTCTGCATTAACCAAGCCTGTTCTTCTTACCAATTCTTACCAATTCTCTCAAATATTACGCACCTTTAACCGAACCTCAATTCCTGTTATCAAAAAAAAAAAAAAAAAAAAAAAAAAAAAAAAAAAAAAAAAAAAAAAAAAAAAAAAAAAAAAAAAATTGATGAAACAGACTGATATCAATAAAAATCCCATCCTCGAGCAATAACCGAGTCAGTCCTGTCTGCTACTTCTGTCGTTACTGCATTCAAGTAAAGAGAGAAAAAGAATAAAAGAAGAAAAAAAAAATATGTTGGATTACTCACATTTGATAAAGTCACGGCAATTTCTTGCGGAGAGCGCTATCATTTACGCTTGTACACAGAATAAATAATACATTGATTTCCGATACGACGGTTAACGGACTAATAAACAAAGCGGGAGCAATCGAGAAAGTCGTGTCGTCGTCGGTCGATGTCGATGAAAGCAGAGGCGAATTACGAGATAGCGCGAATGCGTCCCCACGGCGCATGTCCTTCGCGCTCGTTCAAAGTCCCGACTCGGGATTATGCACGGACGATACGGCGCGTTGGACGTGAAATTAGCGAGCTACCGCGGACGCTAGGTAATTCACAAAAGAGGAGTCATAATAATAATGAATGGAGAAGTTTCGGCGCGAAAGCGCGGCTAAATCAGTCCGCCGGAAGAGTTTTATTAATGACCGGCAAATGGTGACCCACCCGACTGACGGGGCACTCGGTTCTCAACTACGTCATTCGAGTAGTGGCCAGCATCCAGCCCCCAGTCGGCGGTATCCCCGGGTGACTCTCGTCCCGCCCTAATCGTAGTAGAGCCTTCTCCGGCCGGCACTACTGACGGTCCCGTGACCGATGCCGGCAGCAAGGAACTTGACGGGTTTGACCGTGACGCGGCGGAAGCGTCGCGCGCGCGCCGACCTCCGGCGAAAGAGAAAATACGGAGTGCTGGTCGGAGTGGTGGTGGTACTGATGGTAGTGGTGGTGGTGGTACTGATGGTAGTGGTGGTGGTGGCGGTAGTGGTGATGGCGGTGGTGGTGGTGGTGGTGGTTGTGATGGCGGTAGTGGTAGCAGTGGCGGTATTAAAGGTGGTAGTAAAGGTGATAGTAGTGGTGGTAGTATTGGTGTGGTGCCGCCGCCGACGCCGCCACTGCCACCGCTACCGTCGCTAACGCCGCTACCGCTGCCGCTGCTGCTGCCGCCGCCGCTGCCGCTGCCGCCGCCACAACCGTCATCGAACTCGGCGGCACTCGAAGCTCGAAGTCGAGTTAGTCAGTCAGTCAGTCAGTCAGTCGTCGTTTGCATAATGGCGCGTACGGTTGCCCGTTTCTCGTCTGCCTGCCGCCGTTGCTGATCCCCCCGGCTCAAGTTGCGCGGGATTGACGAAAGAGTCAGCGAGGAAGGACGTTCTTGGAGGAACGTCCACGAGGTAACGTAGTGCATCGCTACCCGCCAGTGCTTCTTCCTGCCGTTGTTGACGCTGTCATTGTTTATTTATCGGCGCGTGGTCCAAGTGGGGACGCAGTGATTTTCTAATTAACTAGTGATTTTCGTCCTTCGATTTCTGCTGCTGTTCGCCGACGAGGCCGGCGTTGCGATTTCTTGGACTTGGAGAGCTTTTGCACAATATTGCTTACTTAACGAGGCGGCGGCTCGGTCCGTAAATGACGTTGCCTAAAATAACTCGGAACGCACGCGATTATTTGCAGAATACAATTTCGGATGTACAGCGGCGCCGTCGTATCCCGGCGACTTCTCCACTGTCGGTTACGTCGTTCCAATCGCCGTAATCCAGCTGCAATTGATAATGCGCCGGTGTATCGTGTATTGAAGGAGCGGCAGGGAAGATTTAATGCATAGACGGTCCCGAATTACACTACGTTCCGGACTTATTGATCGAGAAGCTTTTGTTTGTTAATTCGTGGGTGCGTCCATGTGCATAAGTGCTCCTCTATCTGTCTGTCTGTCTGTGCACATCCATCCGTCCGTCCGTCCGTCCATCCATCCAACTGTCTGTCTACCTGCTTACTTACCTGTCTGCTTACTAACCCATCTCTCTAATTACCTACCTACCTACCCACCTACCTACCTACCTACCTACCTACCTACCTACCTACCTACCTACCTACCTACCTATCTACCTACCTGTGTGTCTGTCTGCTTGTATGTCTGACCGTCTGTCCGTTCGTTCGTTGGTTGCTTGATTCGTCCGTTCGTCCGTCTGTCCGCTCGTCCGCTCGTGTGGTCGATATGGAATAGAAGGGGAGGAGGTGGTAGATAAAGCTCGTGTGCCTCGTTATAAGTTTGAGCTATCACGAATGTTTACATCGTTCGCCCACAGTGCAAAGTGCAGTGCGATTACACACACTTAGCCACGCAGACCAAGTTGCGACGTCGCATTTAATAGGTGTGTTATCGTGAGCGTCGAATGCCTTACTTTATCCGGCTTCTTATTTTCCGTTGCCGTTATAGCTGCTGCAATGGTCGTATGTCCGGAAAGCGATATCTCGTAGGCGGGATATGTGGGAGTGGATTAATTTTCGGAAGTAAGTCGTCGGGAGGGACCGCCGCCGCTATCAAGGCACAGCAGACCCTTGGGTAAGGGAGAAAAAACAAAGAGCGGCGTAATTCAGGATGTAGATGGAAAATAAAAGAGGTCGAGGAATTCGGATTAGCGGGGACGTCGATTCTATTTACAGTACTGTACTATTTATTTTTCACTACGCCCCTCTTCCTAGACTCACGAATAATTCGAAATCTCGTCTGGGATTTGGGCTTTCGGCTATCGATCGTGTTGATTACCTTTTGTCAATTGACTCCTTGCCAATCACTTGTGCAGCCCGAGTTTAATCAGCGATTACGGTCATAACCTACTACTTTTTTTTTTTTTTTTTTTTTTTTTTTTTTTTTTTTTTTTTTTATTCATTGAGTCATCGAGAATAGAGCAAAGATTCTCACGAGTGCAATAACTTGTTTGTTTTTTGTTTTTGCATTTAAGGGCCAAATTAAATTCAGACCCATAGTTCAAATATTGTCTCAATAAGGTTAAGCTTGAAAAACGCATTTTACTGTGCGTGATAACGTTCTCTGTCGCAGCCTCGTTATCGCTCGGCTCTTCTCTTCTCACCAAGCACATGTCAATTAGTATCCAGTATGTGCATTAAGAAAAACGCGCTCTTATATAAATACTCATTGGTTAAGTCTATAATTGTCGCGTGTTTATCAATTGTTGTCGGGGAAAATCTCATAACGTCTTCTCAATCAAATTCGAAAAAGGCCTCTCTAACCTCTCTCGGTCGATTACCGGTTGTTCCGCAACGGATTTTTCCCTCCGGATGCGCGCCCAACCAGGGCCACAAAAATGACGAATAAATGAACCGATTCGCGTTCGTCTGCCATTGGATAGTGCCTCCTTGCGTGAGCGCCTCCACCTTCCTTGTACCCCCCCCCCTCCCCCTCCCCGACCATTCCCCTCTTCAACGGCTGAGTACCCCGTGTGCGCTCTGCGGCCGCCCGCCCGCCCGGCGACCCTAGCCGCTACTATTTGGTCCGCTTTTTGTTTCGTTTTAAACGGCTGAAGGAAGTCGACAGGGCAACTTCCGGTTCTCTTGCTTACCAAGTAAAGCACGCGTACCCCGCACATCTGCAATGTAACAAATCGATGACCCAGTATTCCTCTCCTCCCTTCCCCTCGGCCATTGTACACCTTTATCGACGAAAGAGCGTGAGAGGTTAGGCAGCACGACGGACCCTGATATAAGTGTGTATTTGCCAATTATGTTGATTGCATCAGATGACGGTATTTGTACGTTTGGACACTGTACGCGCACACTACCTCCTCTCTCTTCACTCTATCTATTATACAATCTCGGGCTTTAATGATAGATTATCGAGTACCAAATGATTATTCTCCCGTTCATGCCGAGGAGCGCATACTCAACGATATCGCAACGAGCGTGCAAATTATTTTTACGAAATAACGTAGAAAGAGAGACAGAGAGAGAGAGGGAGAGAGAGAGAGAGAGAGAGAGAGAGAGAGAGAGAGAGAGATGAGTAGTGAAAGAGGAGAGAGTTAGAGAGAAAACGTGGAGCGCGCTATGCGGGTGTGGATTTATTAATCAACGAAAAATTCTCGACCGGCAAACTCCGCCATTTTGACCTTTAGGAAGGAGATCAGCTATCTCTTGCGGCCCAAAGTCGATCTCGGAAGTGCCTTTCGTCATAATGTGCCCGCCAAGCTTACGTACCGTTTCCTTCGTCTCGCCAAATTTCATCATGTTTGTCTTACGTACGCGTCGTAGTCGTCGTTGTCGTCGTCGTCGTCGTCGTCGTCGTCGTCGTCGTCGTCGTCGTCGTTTTGTCTCTCCCACTTTCCCTCTCATCTCCCCTCTCCTCTCTCATCTTTACTCTCCTTTCTTCTCCTCGCTCTCTCATCCCTCTGCACTGATTTTTGCCTTTATCGTTGGACTTGGCCTCGAGATAGGTATATTTTTGGATCCCTTTTAATCCCACACATCCCTCTATCCTATTTTGCTTTTTTACTTCAAGTGGGAGACTGACGTACGGGATCATCGTTTAAAAACGATCGAGTCTTCTTATTTTCTTGAAAATTTTCCCTCATACGATAAAATTTACAAATTCGTGGCAAAAGTTTGATTGCCCGAAAACAATGTTGCAAAGGCATTTTGTTAGCAACTTGAACGAGTGTGATCCTCATATTATCAATGCTAATGAACTGGTTTTCAAAAAGTTGGTAGGTGTAAATGTAAATTGTTTTCTCTTGTCCTTAGAATTCACTCGGCTTTATATTGATTACCACAGGCACAGAAAGACACAGAAATATATATATAGATAGATAGTTAGACAGTGTGCGAGCATACAAGTACTTACTATGCCTAAAAATTTTATATTAAAATTCAAATTGCCTGCAGTAAATACTTTGCTTAAATCAATTTCCAGAGCTTGAATCGATCGATACAACAAACACTATATCGAGTCATGACTGCATGAAAGCCAACATTCTCACAGTAATCGTACACGTGTGCTTACTTTCATTGCCGACACAGACCAATCTATATTTTCTTCAAATTTAGATTTTGAATCATGGGCCTAGCAATTACAGCAATACGTCCACGGATAACACCAGTTGTTAAATAGGAAAAATGATAAACGAGCATTTTGTGAAATTGACGTTATCTACGTTCGGATGGACAATTATACTATATTATAATGGTAAAATGCACACTGATTTAAGTGACCGTCGGAAGGTGAAGGGCGTAGCGGGTTGAGTGGAGTTTGCTGGAGTGTAGGGGAGAGGTGAGGAGTTCTCGAGTTCGGCGGCACGAATTTTACGCAAGTGCGCGTTGGCTAGGGGAAACACGTGATAAGGTCGCGCGATTTACGTAGGGATTCCGCATTTTATAGTGGATACGGAGGCGCCGGAGCGTGCGCTCTTTTTTTCTTCCTCGTTTTTATTCTTGCGTATCGATGACGGAGTCGTGCGATAACGAGTCTTTGGCAGCTGGTTATAAGTCGAACCCTCTTGCATCCAGTTTTCAAGGTGAGATGAGCCGTTCGATCGTCACGAGCGACGAGTACGTTTTACTCCAAATAGCTGATACAAAAAAGAAAAAAAGAAAAAAAGAACCCTGTGTCGACGGTCGATTTTCCTCACTGACACGTTTCTAATTCAAGCTAACATTTATTCGTCTTACACATCCATCACCTCGTGTTTCTTACTAATTTACTCATTTATTGATTTTCTTTCGTTTGCGAGCAGACACGACTCGTCGAGTCTACTCGATTGAAGCGCGAACTCGTAGCTCGTTATGTCCATGTGTTTGTGCACACGCGGGCGCGCGCGCGCGCGCGCGTCATTACCAACAGCAATCGTACTGCGAAGTAAAGCGAAAATGTCGAAAAATTCATTTCCAAGACTCCTCGTTAATGCTACTCGCATCATCGGCATTTTTCGGGGCAAAATACAAAGTCATACCGCGCTCTTTAAAAATTCGATACGTTAAGCCGTCGCTCACGCGTGCACGGGACATTTATTCACGTATGCGCGCGAGCTCACGTATGTAAAAATCCATCTAGGGTCCCACGATATCCTCCCCCCTCACCGTACGTTGATGAATTACTCCTTAGCGTCCCAAGAATGCAACGACCAGCGCATATTGATGAGCTCTTTAACGGAAAGCACCATTTTCCTCGGTGCAATAATCGTGGAGACTTTTATAATAAGACAATAATTACAACTGCCCGGTAAACCGCGATCACCCCCCCACCCCCCATCTCACTCTCTCTCTCTCTCTCTCTCTCTCTCTCATTCTCTCTTTGTCTTATATATATATATACACACATTCTAAATAAATCAATTCGTGTATTTATTTTTTGCATTGGAGGAGTAAAGTTATCGTAGCAGATAGAAGTATCACTGTAGAGTAGTAACACATACATTTTAGCTTACGTAGGAATTCTAAAATCACTCTCGCATACAAATTCAACCTTTTAAAGTCTAAATTCTTCTATTTACCGGGTCATCATCCTTCCTCTCATTAGTTGCTCAGGATTCATACTTTGTTAAAAAGCCTGACGCAAAATAAGCCGATAATCATAAAACGATTCACCACCGCGATAAGGAGCGTTACGAAAGACCTTCGCTAAGGACGGCGAGAGGTGCGACGGGGCGGTATAATCGAACGAGGGTGGGATGGGATGGGATGGGATGGGGGGGGGGTCGGCGGCGGCGGCGGCGGCGGGCTAAGCCGCAGGCATTATCGCTCAAGATCGCAGAGACGAGCGAGAGCCACCACTACTCTACCTTTCCAGAACTCGGCATACCCCTGACCTTAGCGAGTCCTCGAGCCGTCATTGCATAACAGCCCCGCGCACGAGCGAGCGGATGTTGAAACTCGCGCATTTGCTTTTGAAATAATGTGCGCGTGTGAATCACTTGGCTCATTGGCGCTACAGAGCTCGAAATGCCGCCGCTCTGGATGATGATTGGCGCAAATTTTTTATACCATCTGCAGAGATAGATGGATATTTAGCGATCGCCACATTATTCGCAGCTTCTGACTTATTTATACGCAAATGTACATGTAAATGTGAAGGATTGGGCTGCTTAGGAATTTAATTGAAATTTGACTGGTTTGTAATGGTTTGGGAGCAAATGTAGCGTGCTAGCGAGCTTTTCCATAATAATAATGATGATGA